GACACTTTTTGAGAAGCTGGAGCTGGTGCGCAGTCCCAGGACTCCTACTCCTCCTCCTTCTCTCTGTGCACGCGCAGGAAGGCAGGAAGCAAAGGGAAGGAAGTTCCGGTGGGTCGACAGACTCAGCATTTCAGGAAGTGCTCTTTCTGTTTAGGGGAGGGGAAAAGCAGCCCATGTGTTTCCTGAGACCCGGACCTGGTGCATAGCTGTGGGACTCCCTCCCTCACCCCTCATCTCCCACCACAGAAAGCTGGCGCTACATCCATTTTTGTGGAAGGTAGCGTCAGCGCAGGCTCCTTCTTGGGGATGGGGAGGAATGGGGGGGCTGGAACACCTTGCAATCAACTGGTCGTGCCCCTGCAATTGACCAGTCGATTGCGATCGACGGGTTGGTGACCACGGCATTAGATAACCCTGGAACTCTACCATTACAATCTGGAACGATTGCATAGCAAAAGGGATGAGGAAGCCACTGCGGATACTGTGTCTAATGTAGGCCAGGTCTGCGTTCCTTAAAATGTGTGTGTCTGGTCACACACAAAAGTGGCTGAGAGGAGGGGCGGTTAGAATTTCTAATAAGACAGTAGGTACGCAACACTAAAACCAGGCCCCACCCCCATTCAGTCAAGAGTCAGCTGATTTAATACAAATAAGAGGATGTACATTTTCATACCACTGATTCAGTGCCATGAGAAGCTGTGAGGGCCAAACCGTGTTACTGGGACCAGGAAAGAACTGGATCAATTCTTAGTGGCTCCAGATGATGTTACCTTCTAACTCCCAGATGCCAGAAAGAGAAGCCAGGAGAGATTATGCCACTAATGCTCTGGTATGGACCACAGCCAGAGACAGGATCTTGGGCCACAAAAAGACCTTAGTCTGACCCAGTAGGACAGCCCCATGCCTTTATTACGGTGTGGTCACAGTCAGAGATAGGACTAGATTTCCATAAATATTCTTTTGTTCCATGTTTGTGTTGGAGTGAAGTTAGAAGGTATAGACCAGTGGGGGTATTTGTGTGCGCCCGTCAAGTGCTCGGGGCTGGCCTGGCCCCGGGCACGTGGCGCATGGTGAGCGCCGGCCCCGGGAGCGCCACGGATTGGCCGCCTGCGCTCTGGGCGTGCGGCGCAT